GGGAAAATAAGATGAATGATAGAGCACTCAGTGTGTAAATACAAATTTTGACCTCATATACACCAGAACAGATCCAGAGTGGGGTTTTTTTTGACTGCAAGTGTTTGAGCCAATGCAATTGAGAGGAATTTAGTCCAGCACTTACAAATAATAAATAACCAATTACACAACAAATTATTCTAAGCCTTAGTCTTTCAGCACTGAGTAACTCTCAGCTTTTAGCCTGATAACTTGCTAAAGCATTCGAAAAATTGCTTTTCAGTTGGATATTGTGTTACTCAGATTCCTTATATACTAGTTTTGACACCACTGTACTAAGACAAGCCTGAAGTACTCAGTCTTTAAATTACCTTAGTTTTATTTAATTGCCCTTAAATATAATGCTTAATGCATCAGATCATTTCTGGCTATAACTACATATTTGTAGTTAATGAAGTGAATTGTCAAAACTGATCTCTCGTTTTTTAAGTTGGTCTTAGTTCCACCATTTGGCTATTTTTTGTCTAATGTATTCAATGTGTTAGGACTTCAGTCCACATCTCCCTGTGTCTAGGGAGTGACTTTAAGTACTGGCCTCAGGAGTTGTGATCAGCTCTTCCTTTTTGGCCCTAATAATCTCTCTTGCAAAATATTATAGCTTCAATAGAAACAAGTGAGTGACACAGCTGCAGGATACTCTGCAGCAAGAAAGCTGTAGGAATTGCCAGGTCCATCAGAGAAAGAGCATAGCAGCTATGTCCTAGGAGATGATGAGCCCTGACAAGATGGAGGCACTTTTGTGCAGTACAACAGAGAAAAATGTAGATGTGAGAAGGGCTATGAGATGCATTGATCTTAAGGGTTCCTTGTTGGATTCCCATTTGGCTTGCTGGCCCTTCTGTGGTTAGTAATGCTTTCTCTTAAGTATAGAGAGCTTAAACACTACAAGTCCCATCAGGTGACTGGGTGTTCAGTGTTAAGGGGTCATGATAGTCTTCTGCACCCAAGTTCCTTTCTACAAGAAGTCATTAGAGGTGCAAATAAGATGCTATGGATAGTTTGGGAGTATGCTAATTTAAAATGACATCATATTTGCTATGGAATAAAGCACATATATGGACAATGACTTGTTTTACTTAAATTTATATAACAGAGTGTACAAGACAGGACCCTGAACTTGTCAGTAAGATATCTTGCATCATGTATCTGAAGTGTACAGATTTACATGCATTTTTCATTATACTCTCCTGTTTCCCACACAGTTTCTAGAGCCAGACTTTGAACTGACTTTTAAATTTTTTTATTTAAAATTTCTTTCAAAGTGATGTGTTGTCTTGGACTGATTTTAGAATTCCTGTTCAGATGGAGCAGGGGTGTTTGTCACTTTTGAAATTAAGCATGTAAATTACTAAATTATTTAAGTGACCTTGAGAAATGAGTCTGAGAAATGAAGCAAACAATTTTGGACTTTACTACCAACTGAAGAAATGTAAACTGCATCAAGTTTAATATTTTCATTTTTTAGAAACACTTTTGTCATTATTCATTAGTAGGCTATAGCAAAAAAATATTTCTATTTTTTCAAATATTTCAAAAGAATATTTCTGTTAGGTTGATCAAAGACCTTCTTGAGAGGTCTGAACTTAGGCTGGAGAAAAATGTTGAACTCACTCCACTACATAAAAATGGGTGTGCAATTAATTTGTCTTTATTCTGCATGTTGCTGCAGAAATTTTGAAGCCAGCTGAGCAGTCAGCCCTCTAAGCAGTCATTTGCATGTACAGATACACTGACTACACATACAAATTATTAACTAGGAGCACTGAAATAACTGGTCTTGGGTTAGTTTAGTGAATCCTCTGACAATAAGAACAAAATAATTGAGGTTCATCTCTTGCATTAAGTCTAGTCCTTAATAAAAACTGCTTCCTGGCATATAACAGTAGGACATTTATTTCAGCAGTCACCCATCTGTACATGGTTCTCAAGAAAGGGTATACTGTGACAAAGCAGAAGCTTGAAATGCTTGGGAAGAGAGTGTCTCTGTAATTGATGTCAGAGAGTGTTTGGCCCTTCTCCTTAGTCTTAGTGTAATACTGTCTCCCTCCTTATTCTGGATCATTCTGTAATCTAACACTTTCATTAAGTGGGGATGCTTTATTTTGTAATTTTCATGACTTTATGTCACCAATGGTTTTTTGGTGTAACCAGCCTCCTATATTTTTTTAGGAAAGGGAGACTGTTCTTTGTGTCTCATGAAGAATCTGCACTTTTTCTTAACAATCATTTATTCCCTCTGAGGGCTGTTCACCCACATGGATTTTCCATATTTAGGTTGTTCTGAAATGATCTTTGCTGTCTTGCATAAGAGCTAAAAAATGTGCCCAATTGTCTAGTTATGAAACATTTCCCATTGTTTTAGAATTGAGATTAATTAATTAATTAATTAATTTTTATGTAGAGAGATCTCTACTGAAGTACCTGAGAACTCATCTGTATTTTCTTAAATTAGAGGAGAGAGAAGGGCATGATTTACTTCTAGCTCTGCTTGCAGTCCTGAAAGGGAAGATACCTGTAAGAGAGGTATCATAAGAAGTTGACAGTGTCGTCCTTCAGATGTTCTTTATTGTGTCTCTGAACTGATGTCCTTTTAAGAGGGACATGAAAGTACTGATAGCAGTGTACAGGTGATGCTTGCTTTTTGTCTCATGTTCTGGCAGTGTTTCTACCCAGCAGCACATTTTGCTGCTGAGTATTAAAAGCTGCAGTTGGTGCTGGATAAGGAGTGAACAATTTTTCATGCAAAAGAGCCTTAAAAAGACAGAAGCATTTTTGCCAGACACACTTTTTCCACAATTAAGAAGATAATCCTAGCATTAGTGAGAAATTAAACATTTCTTCACTGGGAGAAAACAGAAAGTCTAGACATGTCTAGTAAGATTAAATAAATTTTTTAACATTCTGTCAGTTTCAGGCTTATGCCAAATACAACGAAGACGTTCATTTTGAATACATACTCAAATTACATGAAAGTTGTGCTCCTCCACCCTGTACTGCCTTAACGCTACCAACTGAAGCATCAAATCTGCCCTTCTGCTGTTTATACAACATAGTTCTTCTACTGTTGTGACTACATGTTTTATTAACCTAAAATTGATTTGTCTTCAGCTCAGAGCTGGCTGAGCTCTTGAAGGTAATGTAACCTTAGAAGGCATTCAGCACCACATTCAAGAGAAAAGGGGTGCTCTAACTTGTTGGGAGAGCTTCTAATTTACCAAAGAAGCCTAAGAATTTGAATTACACAAATTAGTGGGTAATTTTTAAATGTTATTATCACTCAGTGTAATTTGATCATTGTCAGAGATGACAGCTATAGAGGGAGGAAGACGTTTTGTACCCTCTCTTTGAAATCTGTAAGATATTAAGTTGAACATAGCTCAAATAATCCACACCTTGGAAAGTAAAGCTCCTAGCTTTGGGTAGGATGGCTCCTGTGTTTTCCTAAATATGGAAATTCCTTCTGTTTTCTGCCTCTATGTGTACCCAGTTTCTCAAATATTATTAGTATAAATCAGAGATACCAGAGGAGCTTACCGTATGTGCAGAGTTCCTTCACTATTATAATGCACTTTTACACCCAAAGAACTGAAAACATTTTAGCAGCAGGAGGATATTAAGATCTTATATGCATTTCTATCAGAAGGAGAATATTGTCCTGGACGTGCAGTCACATTCTGATACTGCTTCAGAAATTTTAGCAGATAAAACCTATACTCAGGGAGCGGTATTCAGCACGATCCTTAAAATAAGAAGAAAATAAATTCCACAAAAAACTGAGATGTGACTTAAAAAAAACCTTATACAGATCATCTTCATATGTTGCAAGGAGTTAGAATTTGAAGCATCATTAAATTTGTGAAGTGTCCAAACTAAAATATGGATATTATGAGATGTAATTTTCTTTCCGTTGCTTTGGAATAGCACTGATAAATTTTATATCAGCCTCAAACTGGATAAAGACTTTCAAATTCAAATGGCAGTTTTTAGCTATCTTAGATGCTGCAGAAGGAGGGAAGATTGTCTCATGATAGTTAGCCTACAGGAGTTGATCCAAATTTCCTGAAAAACATGAGCTGCATGCAAACTTGCTGTTTGTGCATGAGAATTTACATATGTTCAAGATTAAAATTGTAAACGGTTATGTCACCCCCAGCCTCGTCACCTATGTCAGTTTACTGCTTAACATGGTTATTAACTTGTTAATAATATACATTGCACTAAATTTTAATCAAATGTAATTGTGCAGCCTTTGGAAATCTGTATGTAGACCACTGTAGACGATATTGGACTCCTGCTTCCTTTTCATATGTGAATATTAACCTGCTCAGTCAAAAAATGTCCTTAGCAAATGACCATGGAGAACAGTAAGACAGAAATTAATTCAGGCTTTAACCTTGTGGTGGGTTGACCCTGGCAGGATGCCACCAAGGCCTCTCTATCACTCTTCTCCTCAGCTGGATGGGGGAAAGAAAATATAATGAAAAGCTTGCGTGTCGAGATAAGGACAGGGACATCACTTGGCAATTGCTGTCATGGGCAAAACAGACTCAACTTGAGGAAATTAATTTAACTTATTGTCAATCAAATCATAGTAGGGTAATGAGAAATAAAACCTTCCTCTTCCTAGGCTCATTTTTACCCCTGATTTCTCTGCCTTCTCCCTCCAGTAGTGCAGGAGGATGGGGAATGGAGGTTACGGTCAGTTCGTCACATGTTTTCTCTGCTGCTTCTTCCCCCACATGGATAGACCTCCTCACACTCTTCCTATTCTCCAGCAGGGATATGTTAACTTGCTGACACAGCTGATGAGGGAGCCAAACTGGACATCCATAAGTCCGTGGGCCCTGATGGGGTGCACTCACGAGGGCTGAGAAAGGTGTTATTGCTGTGCCACTCTCCATCATCTTTGAAAGGTCATGGAGAACAGGAGAGGTTCCTGAGGACTGGAGGAAAGCCAGTATTGCTCCAGGCTTCAAAAAGGCCAAGAAGGCCCAGGAAACTACAGGCGAGCTAGTCTCACCTCTGTCCATGGGAAGGTGATTGAGTGTCTCGTTCTGGATGTGATCTCTAAAAATGTTAAAGAACAGGAAGTTATTTGGAGTGGTCAACATCGATTTACCAAGGGTAAACTATGTTTATCCAATCTGCTAGTTTTCCTGTGATTTTTATGTGAAGGGATACGTTGAGCAACTTTTAGGGACCATAGTTGATATTGCTGCGTCATAACCACAGGTTGCCTTGGTAGGCGTAGCTAATGAACTTGAACAACCTCTGAGGTGTTTCAAATGGAAGCTGCAGATGCTGACACTATGTCAAGGATGCTCTCATCTGACTGACTGTCTCCATTTCATGCTAGATTAAGCATCCTGAATATACTTCATGTGCAACGTAGAGTTTCAAAGGTTGTTGATAATACTGGACAGATTGCATCAAAGAGAGGAACACAAATGAGCTTTCTGCATAGTAGGAAAGGCTTCTGCTTGTGTTCTTAACTTTTGAATCCCAGAGCTAGTGGGGTCCTAAGGCACACTTCAATAACCAGTTGTGGGCACAGTTTCTCTGAAATATGAGCAAGTTTCATTTGCTGGACACCCTCTCTGGATTTTTCTGTTATCCTAAAATGTCAGTTTCGCTTCAGTCAGTCTTAGCCAAGTCCAGTCAGTCACCTAGATGCACAGCAGGACCTCAGAAGTGGCAGCCTAGCCCTGCTCCCTGCCTGCATGGCAGAAGGTGAGGTGGAGCCCAGTGAGAGCTGAGGTGAAGCCCTGGAGCAGAGGAGCTATTGACAGAAAACAGCTTGAAGTCTCCTGGAGCAGGAGAGATGAGATCACTGAGCTCTAGTTCTGTCACCTGCTGGTGTCCATAAATGAGTTGACAAAGCCCCATGTCCAGCAGTGTCAGTTGACTGACATTGCTGAAAGAGATACAAAAGAGAAAGAAGACTGACAAGGGGGACAGCAGTGGTAGGATATCAGATATGCTTTTTTCTGATTCCTTGTCACTCAGTTAATCTGAAATAGAAAGCTGGAAATATGGCAATTACTTGGAAGTTGCCAGAAAGCAAGTTGCAAGGAGGGCCTGCTGAGCCACCTGTGCTCAGACTCAGTGACTTAGCTATAGGATTCCTCTATTTCCTTTTTTTTCCCCCCTTTTTTCCTCCCCTCATCCCCCCCACAGTAATTCTTATGTCTTATATATGTATTGTCATGGATTGGATCAGTGAGGATACTGGATAAATACCATATAATATATAGCACACATTCTAACAATATTCTACCTTCTTTATGCAGGTACAGAAGGCTTGGGATTTAGCATTACTTCAAGAGACGTTCCAATTGGTGGCTCTGCTCCAATTTATGTGAAAAACATCCTTCCAAGAGGTGCAGCTATTCAAGATGGGAGACTAAAAGCTGGAGACCGATTAATTGAGGTGATGAAACATCACATATTGTATGTCTGTGTTTTGGCCTGAGCCAAGGCACGAATTTACTCCCAAGGGCTCCTAGTAGTTTGTTTCCCTCTTCTTTTTTTCCTTTTTCTTTTCTTTTTTTCTGTTACCTGCTTAGGTAACAGATCAAGGGCTGTGCATTTTCAGTACATAACTTTTGTAAGAGCTGGACCCAGACATACTATAAAAACATGAGTTTACATGTCCCTCTGTGAATATAGTGTCATAGTCTTGCCTTGCAGTTTAGAAATAAGTTGAAGCAAAGCGATTGTTCCATCCTAAGTGGCATTAAATCAGCATGGAGTGACAGACCAGAGATTACTGAAAATGTTGCGGAGTGGGGAAGACAATACCCTGAAAAGGTTTAGTGAATTAACTGAAAGGGACAATATAAGAGGACAGTTGTGCTGCAGGAAATCAGGGCCACTTCCAGGAGGATGTCCTCAAGGGAGTTAAATTTCTCTTAGATAGGCACACAGCAGAGATCTTCCTGCAAATCTAGCTTGAGTGATATAAGGTGTTACCACCCACAGGTCTTCATTACCGTTCCTAAGCTAAATGACAGTGAAGGTACAGCTGAGACTGTAACTGCCTCTCAGTGGTCTAACTTCACTTTACTGCAAAATTGGTGAAGTCAGCTTGAATTGCTGCTGGAGGAGAGCTCTCTGTAATTACTGTAATTCAAGGTAACCCAGATGACTTGGGTAGGAGTCTGAGAAGCAGTTAAGACAACAGCTATGGCATCTCAACTGCATGAGCTGTGAGCTCTTATGAAGCAAAGGAAAAAGATGGTTTACTGATGACTTCTGAGAACCATGCTCCCTTGCTTAATGCCCTTAGTTGATTTGCCTTGCATTTCCAGAACATTTTTGAATAGGCAAACTTGAGAATTCCCTGTGTTTCTCTGACTTCTCCTCTTATTCAGGTATTACATATGGGTCTGTCCTGGTAAGTGGTATATGGGAGGCCCAGGCAGCTGGACCTCTGAACAAAGGCAAAATAAAGAGTAACTACACAGAATTATTTGGGGAAAAAATACTTTCTACATTTGTTACAATTTTTTGTGCAAGTTACATTTGGAAGATACGTATAGCACCAATGCATGTGAAAACAGGACCAGTTTTGGATCATTGAATTTGCCAGTGATTTTTATGCAGAAATTCTTGAAAAGAATGGGTTTAGTTGGCTTTAGAGTAGACATGAATATATTCTTGCTACTAAAAAGAAGGGAAATATAGCTGTCTTGCTTGTTAATTGCATCTGTATGTAAAGAATGCGTGTTTAATTAATTCTATTTAGTAGCAGTTGAGCCAATAAGCAGTGAGGTTTTTTTTAATACTGTCCCATACGATTCACATGAATTTTCAGTATGAAGTTCTACTGTTTCTACTGGTTGAGAGTCTTACTGTTTTCTAATATTTTCTTTGTCACAGGTAAATGGAGTTGATTTAACAGGCAAAACTCAGGAAGAAGTTGTCTCTTTGCTGCGAAGCACCAAGATGGGAGGGACTGTCGGCCTTCTGATTTTCCGACAGGAAGAAACATTCCATCCAAGGGAACTGGTGCGTAAAATAGAGAGCAGCTAAGAGATTTAGATGAGTGCAAGCAAATTATTTGATCCTGTCACCTACTAGTAAACATGTGTGGCCAGCACTGAATACAATCTAAAAAGCTACTTGGCTTTGTTTAGAATATTATGCAAAAATGTTTTTTAATTCTCTTGGAGATCTGCTATTGGAATTAAAGATTTCTTTATAATGTATAATGGAGAGTTATATTTTGAGTGAAAATGTTTATTATAGAAGAAGCTATTGGATGGACTTTATTTGGATGAATGCAGACAAATAGGTTATTTCATATCTTTCATATGGACAAATTATGTTTGAAAGCCTGCCATTTGTCCCACTACCTGCTCACTAAAATATTTCAGAGCTTATAATATTTTGCCAAGGCAGATATGTAGATACCTTTCTATCAAAAAGTAGAATATATAAGAAATAGTAGCCTTTTTTAAAATATAAATGCAATCTCTGGAATGGAAACCCTGCAGTTATTAATTTAGCAGGGCAATTCAGAAAATGTTTCCAAGGAATTTACATGAAATGGAAATAAAATGATGTTTCATACTGTACCTGCTCTGCTTGCATAGTGTATACAGATATTTCTCTGATAATTATTCAAGATAAGTTCTGTTACAAAAAGGTAGACTATGAATGTAGTAGTCTTACTTTGTTTTGTATTAAATTAAACTGCTGAAGTTATTTATTATTTGTGTTATCCTACTTATATATAGCTCTAAAAATAACTTTATTTGAGAATAACATCATTGTGAGAAAATAGACAAATATAAGTATGATGAATTGATTGCTTCATTTTTCTATTGGTTTTGTGTTACTTTGAATGCAAAGAGAATAAATTTTTGTTTGGCCATTTCAAGACATTTAACTTTACCCTTTACTTTTCAAAACAACAACTAAACCTAGGAAGTCAAAGTGGCAGGGGAGGTTGCAAACAAACCATGCTTTTACCCTAATGTTCTTGGAACATGACTTCAGGTACTGAAGTGAAAGTTGTCATAAAATAAAGAGAAATGAACAATTAAAATAATATTATGCCCTACCTTATTACTGGAACTGTGAAAGCAATCTGTTTATAAATTCCTATGATGTAATTTTCACAGTATTGCTATCATACATAAAGGTGAATAAAAATGCTTTTTAAGTTTTCTAAATAAACTTAGAAGTAAGAAAATGTCTTAATTTTGTGTATATTATTTCTGTAGCAAAATGAGGAAGTTACAATGCACATTTTAACTTGAAATTCCATTCAAATAATTGTAAACAAAGATACGGCATTAGCAATGCAGATTTAATAGGAGTACTTGATGTAGTTTTAAAAATGAGAGCAATCAGCCCCTTTAAATGGGTTAAGCCTCAGTAGCCTGCTGCTACTTGGGCAATACTCTGTCATTTTGGCAAACACCAGCTTAGGGAAGCCAGATCTCACCTTGACTGTGTCAGGTAGTAGATGGGCTCTGCGCAATGTAGACAGAAATCAGATCTGAACTGGTGAATGTTTTTGTAGCTCCAGCTGAACAAATTATATTGTGAGGATCTGACAGTACCTGTGTGTGATGGTCCTCTGTTGCATAAGGTTTTGTTTGCATTTTGACATGAAGAACTGTTAGGTGTGCTGTACTGACAGCTGTCAAAGAGCAGGAACAGTATCACTGGGGAAGGTGTTGAACTAAAACCCATCATAAGGGCTGTTTTTTCTTCTCTGGTAAGAAATAATCCTAAAAGGGAAAAAAAAAAATTAAAACAAAAAAAATCTTTCGAACTAGCTCCTGTCATATACTTTTACCAAAAAGAACCCACAAAAAAACCAAAACAACAACAGAAAAGAAAGATGTTGAAGGAGGGAGGGGAATAATGTGAAATCATGTCAGTTCACCTTTTTCACATGCAAACCTTCTTTGTCCATCTAAGAACAATTTGTCTCTGCATCCTTCCCTTATTTTTCTTATACTTCCTACATTTATATGCTTTAAATATTAACCAAATGAGATGTGTCTCAGAAACTGTATGCATAAAATCATGCTATTTGGTATTACCCATCTCATAGAGGGCAGGAGTTGCTGTTGCTTGCTGAGAAGCAGTCAGTGTTAAAATCATTTTAAATTTGCCAATACTTACAGATAGTAAGCCCAATAAAAGATGTGTTTAAGATTTTATGATGTGGGCTGTGACTTGCTAAATGACTTTTGAAAAGTTACACATCCTGAGTTTTCTTTATAAGGAAAATGAAAATAATGAACTTTCAGAAGAGTTGTGGAATTTAATGTCTTTGTTGCCATTGTTGTCTGGAAGGGAGCTATGAAAATGTGTAGTTGTATCTACAATTCATGTAAATGTTAAGCTGAGCCTGTTTAGGTTAGAGCAGGATCTTTGTAACTTGAGTGGTCAGGCTAGGGGTGTGTGTGTGTGATGGGAGAGCCATCATGGTACAAGTTGAGTAAAAGATGGAAGCATGGAATGAAATCAAACTCGCAGGAGTTAACTTTTCTAACCAGTGAGATCTGGAGGAACAATTATGCTTCTCCAGAATACCAGGCATTTTATTGCTTCCAGAGCTACCTAAAGCCAAATAGGTAATATATTAGGGCTTGTCCACATTGGTGTGAGATGAAGATTGCCTCTTACCTTCCCTCACTGTCTGCTTGCTTTATGAAAGAGGTGACAGCTACTCTGGCTAGCAGAGTTTCTGTTACACTGTGGTTACTCCTCATAACCAAACATAACTTGCTACGAAGGGCTTGTTTAGGGGCTGCTACTGACTATGTGAATCCACTGAAGCACTGACTTGCATTATTTAGCTTTGGAGCTAAATTTCAGAATCATCAGAGACTGGCTGGCAGAGATTGTCTCCTGTACTCTACAAGTTAATATGCCCTTTGGTGCATGTAGGTGCTTCATATGTTCCTGGTTGTTGCCTGCTTCATTGTTTTTTTTCTAATTGGTTGTTGGCTGCAGGTTGAAGTTAACTGCTGTGTGTTTTACTGCTTTGCCACTACATTTTTGTGCCTAATCATTTGAATCTACTGCAAAGCAGTCCAAAGCAAAAAAGTCCAGTAAGCCCTAGCATTTCATTTCAGCTCAGCTGATTTGAAAGAAATAGCTGGTTAGTCTTAAAGTGACCATCCAGCCAGAAGCAAGGTGGCATCTGTGGGTGCTCAAAGGACTTTTAAGATGAATAGATGTGGGCTTGAAAGAGTAATAGTTTCTTATGTGTGTTTCCAGAATTGGTTGGGGGATGCAGACAGGTTTTCTGATGATGTGTATTTGCTTTGTGTGCACTGAGACACAGGTGAGGAATGCAAGGTACAGGAGGGTCCTGTCTGTTGTGGGCTGAACGCACCCTTCTGTCCTGAGAAAGCCAGTGCTCTAGTTCTGGTTCATCCACACACACTCAAAAGGGCAATCCCTGTTAAAATGAAAATGGATATTTTTTTAAAAAGCTACTTGTTTAGAATATTTGGAAGGGTTTATCTGGACTCTTGACATTGTTCTTTTAAAACCTGAAAGCAGAAGGGAAGGGCCAGAGGGGAACATCCTTGAATGAGAACATTCCCTGAGCCATAAAATGGTGCAAGCAGCCTTGACTCTTCCTTGGCCAGAGAGCCACCTCCCTTGTAGCCAGAGAAAGTCAGGTCTACTGGCCTAAGATCACTGGAGGTTATTTTTATTCACCTCTTATTTGGTGCTTTTTTAGACAAATTGGAATCAGGGAATGTGATGAACACCATTTTCCCGTTACCACTTCATGTCAGAATTAGAGCTTTTTGTTTATCCCCCTGCTGATAGATACTATATGTCATATGTAGTTGTGTTCTTATGTATTTTTTTTACTTCCTTTAGAATGCAGAACAAAGCCAGTCACAAATTCCAAAGGAAACGGTAAGAGCTTTGTCTTTTCCATACTGGAAGACTCCCTAATGTTTTTAAATCTATATGGCACTTCTCCATCAAAGTTTCACAGATCCTCCTTTCACCTTATATACTGTAGATAGCTTTCTCTAGCTGTACATTTTAAATGCATTTTTAAATGTAATTTCAAATAATTTTTATTTACAATTATTATACAATTATATACAATTCATTTAATATTACATTCAAGTGCGATTTGAAATTACATCTTCTATATGTAGCCAAAGGCCTAAGGTTGCAATGATAAGAGCAGACTATTTGAGTTACTTGTTGAAATTAATTGTTTAAATCATGATTATGTGACTGAAACCTGAGATACAAACACAGAAATTAGGCAGTTTAGATTGAAGTCTCAATTGTACCCTCATAGCAAACCACTGTTTGATAGTTATTTTTAATAATTTTTAGAAAAGTACTATTAGGTTTAACACTTTGAAGGATGTAACAAGTTTGTCTGTGGTGTGCCAGTGAGGCTGTATATTGAGGTTGTATTCTGTTTCTGTACCTCGTTTTAGTCAGTGAAACACGATCAGTATTAATGCACATTCTACTAATACATGTTAAAAGCTTTTCTAAAATGTAAGTTTTATTTTTTGAAATAATAACAGATGATATAAAAATAATATATTGCTGTAAAGCTACACTTTATCTTAGTTAAAGCATTCTTCAAGAAACTCCATTCAATGAAGGACCTTTTAAAGAAAAATAAACAAAAATTAGATTATGGAGAAATTAAGAGGATTCATGCTGGGATTTGAAATTAGGCTGCTGTAACACAGAAGAAGCTTATCTAGGTGTTTCAGAATGCCTTACTAGCAATGGAGACATGGGTGTCTGGGATATAAAGAAAGCAAAGACTAGGTAAAGAGATGTAAGACCCACATTAGTGAAATAGTCTAGTGTACATTGGTTGATACATTAATGTTTCAGGCCAATGAAATGCAACTGCTGAAATGGACATTTGGGTTGAACGTAGCCATATTCACTTTCACACCTTTTAGTCTCAAAGTCATCTGTGTAAGGCCTCTATAAGTAATGGATGTATCATTGTTTCAGACACGTCCGTGGGATCTTTTTAGTACATCTCATTAGTGCATAGATGTTGTTATCTTGATTGTCTCTTACCACATACTGCTGATAGGTAAAGTCATCAAAGGTCAAAGCCCAGGAGAGTAGTTCTGCCTGTAATTGAATACAAATGAAGACAATTTGTGGGTGCAGCCTTATAAAAGTGGTCTGCCTTTAGGAGCTGAAATTCTGCCCCAAAACCTCATTAAGGTTAGGCAGGTTGCCTATAGAGTGTTTATATAAAGCACTTTTTCATCTGTTGCAAAGTTAATGTTTTGTACCAAATGTCATAGTGAAATCTTTACAGTTTTTTCAATCAACATCCTGACTTCATCTAAGGCAAGATCAAAGAAAATAAGGATCTCTCATTTGTTCTCTATAGATGTGAGCTAAACATTTCTTGTTAACCTGAGGATTATGCAAGAGGGACAGAGGGTATATGACTAGCTAGGGATTTCTGAGAAAACTGCTAGAAAGCCTTAGCAAGCCTTTGGAAATAAGGAAGTGAATTGGGAAATAACTGGAGACATACTTGGTTAGTGAGGGAACAAAGCAAGAAAGCCAGTTAATACAAAAATATCATTTGCATAATGTATTGGGTTTTTATTCATTATGGGGTGGAGGTTTTTTTGTTATATATTTAAAGGCTCAGAGGAACAGTGACCAATAGTAGAAACAATAGGTTTCTTTACATTTTCCTACTCCTAGTTGGGAATGAAAAGTTCACTAAGCGTGAAAGTTGTCGGTATTTTAATGCATAAATCTTTTGCACTTCTTTCAATCTACTTTGCTTTGGAAAAGTGTTACATTTCAATTCTACAGCACTAATTTTCCTCAGCTGCACATTAATAATACAGTCACACACTTATTCTTATTCTTATTCTTATTCTTATTCTTATTCTTATTCTTATTCTTATTCTTATTCTTATTCTTATTCTTATTCCTCCTTGGCTCTGCGTCAATCCCTGTTTATTCCTCCTCTATCTACTTTCAAATCTTTGAGATTTCTGATCCTATTATTTCTATTTCTGTGCCTGCTCTGATCTTTGTTCTGTTGGTAGTGAAGTTTTAGTCTCCAAGTGTCAAGGACTTGACAGTAACAAGCAAAGCAAAAAAACCCCAACAAACCACAAACCAAACTTAGAAAGCATGATGAAAGCAGTGAAGCTATAGGAATGAGACAGAGCTGAAATACGTGTCTGTTTTTAATTTAAAAGCAAAATTGTTGTGGGTTTTTTTCTTATTGTTATGTCTTTTTGGGGAAATAGAAGAAAAATGAACATTTGAATTTAAAAAAGAAAATAAAGTTTGAAAATTGAATGCCTGAGATAAAACTTATATGTAAATCCCAAAATACAAAGCCTAATTATCAATACATTCTTAACACTCAGGGGTTACATTCATGTAACTGTTACTTTGAAATGGTTCACGCTAAAATTGTGGCACTTGGATGTAGTTGTCATAGTCTTCATTTATGTAATAAAAAAAAAACGTGTAAATTCTTTTCCTAATATATTTGTGGCCTGAAATCCTTGAGACAGTTATTTCTTACTACTCATATAAGAAGTAATATGACTTAATATTTTCCACACTGTCATAGAATATGGATTTTCATATTCTTCTTCTTGAACTTCCATATGGGGAGTTTTTGTAAGTTGCCAAGCTTATGGAGTTTAAGCTTATCTCCAGTTACCTGTAAAAAAATGCAAATTGCTGATGCAACTTTAGCGTTTACAGAGTAACTGTGCCCTGGTGAAAACAGTACTGCTGTTTTTACCTTCCATTTTGCTGAAGAACAGAACAGGTCCTCCATTTACTCCTGATGCAGGAAATCTCCTGAATCTTGGTTGAAAGTCTTTCACCCAGCCACAAGTTTGTACCATTTCTATAGCTAATGACAGCATGGAACAGTTGCACCTATTTCTAAACATGGTGATTATTTGGAATGTAGGAGATGGACCGTAACATGAAAACTAGTAATTTATCATTATTACATTTCTGTTTCTAATTATAATTATTTTAATTTTGTTACAGAGCATTGAAATTAACTGCTAATTATGCTATATAAAACATCTGCCAATTAATTTTTCATCATACTGTTTGAAAGTCAATAGCGTTTCAGTAATATTTTGCTTTTACAATTGTAATTCACTGTTTGTTTTCTGAATTTGGAACTGGCAAGTTAACATTCATGTAAGCATAATGCTAGAAAAATAATAATGATCATATAAGTAAGTACTTTCTAGGGAGTGTTGTCTATTAGTAAGAAGAGATTAAAAGTTAGGACTCAGGATTTAATTTCATGATTGTTGCATTCAGCAGCATGGTAAAGCTTCAGTTTTCTGTTCTCATTTGTTTTTCTGTCAAATTGCTGTAAGTGAGCAGAATGTTATGAATTTTAGTGAGTGCAGAATTTGTAACAGTGGCAAAACAAGAGTGGTTGGTGTGTTGGAACAATGTATAAATGTTTAGCCGCCCTGATAGAAATTGCAAATGGGATTGCTTTTTATTTTCTTCGGAACTCAAACATCTGATACTCCTGTTATTATCGAAATTTCATTTTAATCACTGTGTTTTTTTCAGAAGCCAAGGCTAATGTCATGGCTAAACTTGTCAGCATATTTGGGTTCAATTGCTGTACTTGCCATAGACTTTTCTGTGTGATTCTGAGTAAATTAGCTAGCTACAATACTTATGCAATATTTATCACCTGTAGGAATGGAGTGATACCACCATGTGATCAGAGGCATTTTGTAAGGACTAATTATTCATAATTATTTTTGTACACTTTTTGTTTGCACCTTCTTGTGTTATGAATTTGAGAGATACAACAAGAAACACGTAGAAAGACATAATTTATATTGATTAATGGATGGAAAATTCTTGAGTGTTAATCTTGGGGGAAAAAAGCACTGTCATTGTTGAGCTTTAAGATGGCGATGTACTGAGTGCATGTGTGTTTGGTTTTTTAATTTTGGTGAAAGCTATTGGTATAACTTCAAGTGACATAGTCACTGGATATGTATCCATGGCTGTTTTTCAAAAGCTATGCATTAATTTCCCACCACTTCATATTTAGCACTTAGGCAGAACTTCAGCTTTTGTAGCAGCTCTGTATCATCCAGTTGATGCAAGACTTCCTTCATGCAGAACCTTCATCTGGAGAGCAGTTTAGATCTTGATCGGTTTCCATTGCTACAAGCGGTGATCCAAACATCTAAAAATTGAACCAAGATTGTACATTGGCTAATACCAGCCTATACCAAGAGCAGTGCTGATACCATTAGAAACAGAATGATTTTACCAAAAGAGGAGAGTTTTGACTGATGATTAAGCTGATACAGTTGTTCCCTCCATGGTATATAGGAATACTGCAAATAAACTGGTGTTGATTATTTATATATATATATATATTTAATCTTCTAATGGTGTGAGGCACAAAGTTGATTACAATGCTTAAAAGCCTTTTTTAGTACTATTTTGAGCAGCTTCAGATTATATTTTTAATAGAGTTTATGAGATAAGCAAATCGCCGGCCATATGAAAGAAAGATAATCAATGTGTGATCTTCTGCAGGATACTGTTGTGTTTACAGTCTTTCACTATTGGAGACACTCTAGTATTGAATAGCATCTTCTGGGGTGTTAATGAGTACAGCTGAGACATTAATTCCTAGTGAATAATTAATACAGTCATTGAGAGTCTGTGTTTATAAATGCTTTTTGAATAGCCTGAATTTCCTGGAACATTCAGTGATAATCTACATAAACTCCTCTGTAATGCTGTACTTAAGACACACTCAGAATTTTGCCTCCATCATCTGCAGGTGTTTTACCTGGGCTGCAGTGTGGCAGACCCAAGCTGGCTCGGTGCAGCACTGTAGGCTATTTTCTCAAAGTTCA